AGAGCACTGTGGGAGCACTTGGAAGGGGGTTGGGGGTGTTGATGATGGCTGCCATTTTGGATATGCTATACCAATGGGTATGAAGTAAGCATGAGAAAGCAAGTGAAGATATCCAAGGCCCAGGCTTGGGTCTGCAGGTTAGGTGAGAAATCTGGTTACAAGTGAGCAGACAGATGGCAGTGAAGCCATGGAGTCAATTAGATTACCCAGTCATGGTGCAGAATGAGAAGATATGAAGGCACACAGCAGAAACTGAAGAGGGGTAATGGAGACAAGGAGCCCACTATGTTCCTACAAGTCACTAGCGACACGGAATTCCAGGGAGCTTTACTGAAGTCTGTGAGATAAAGCTACTGAAGGGTGGGTGTTTGGTGCAGCAGTTGGCACTTGGGACACCTGCATCCCATACTGGAGTGCCTGGTTCAGGTCCTGGCTACTCTGTTTCTGACCCAGTTCTGCCAATGCGTATCAAGACAGGCAGAGGTATTGGCTCAAGTCCTTGGGTCACCAGCACCCATGTGGGAGATCTAGTTACAGTTCTAAGCTCCCGACTTTGGCCTGGCCCAGTCCTTACTGTTGAGGCATCTTGGGAAGTAAACCAGCAGATGGAAGATCTCTCTCTCTGTCTCTGTTTATCTGCCTTTCAAATAAAATACATAAATAAAACATTATTTAAATACTTATTAAGAAAATGCCTTTGAGGTATACAAACATCAACACGTTATTGGAGAAGAAAAAGTGGCCTTCAGGGAACGAGTAGAGACTGGAAAGGAAGGGTACAGATGGGAGCTTGTCTTTCCTAAGGGAACTTTTCTACCAAGGGTCACTCAGACATTTACAATGTCATACAAAATTATCAACTTAAAAATTAGCCTGCCATAGACTTACTAAGTTTTGAGTCCTGCCAATGGTTGCCATGGCAGAGCTGGAGCCAACGATTTCACAGGCCTTACATGGCCCATGTGCTGGCTGTTCCCCGTCCTTGAAAGGGTTGCAAATGTGTGTTTACGTGTGTGAAAATTCATCAAGCTCTGTATTTACAACACAGGCATGTGCTGTATATAAGCTAGAGTCAGACAGAATCTAAAAACACAGGTTAAGTCAGTTTAGGTGGAGTGGCTAGAAATCAGACGGTGGAAGGTCAGAGAGGAATTGGAATGTGAGAAGGGATTAGCAGAAACTCTGCAGAAGCCTGACCACATCAACGTGACCTACTACGTGTCATAAACTACTCCAATACTTAGTGACTTAATGACAGTGATGGCTTTATTTGCCGGTAATTCTGCGAATTAGACATGTGGGCTGGCTCAGATGGGGAGTTCCTCCACTGGTTTCTGTGGCAGTTTGCTGAGGTTTGCATGACCTCATGTGGCCTTGCTCCCACACCTGCCAAGAGGTGTTGGCTGGGGTCTGTTTGTTCTCTCTCTCTCTCTCCCTCCCTCTCTCTCTCTCTTTCTCTCTCATCCTCACATGAGGGCAGCACTCTAAGAGGATGACAGGGGCACTGGCAGTCCCCTGGGGGCTGCGGTTTGGAAGTTGCACAGTGTCACTGCTGCCACATTCTAGCCCTCATCTAACATCAGGGAGTGGTGGGCACTGGGATGACCTGTCACCTGCCCATCTGCTGGTCTCAACAGGAACTGATGCTGTTGTGGGCCAACATGTCTACATGTTCTTTTTTCACAAAAAGTCAGAATGCCAAAATTTTACATGAAATCTCCCAGTTTTTATGTTTGGCAACTATCAATGTTAAACACTGTGTGTTCCAAATACACATGACTGTGGGCTAAATGCAGCCTGCAAGCCTTGAACTCACAACCTCTGTATCAGACAGCACAATTCAGAAAAATGGAAACTTGTTCTCCAAATCAAAAGAATTCTGGAAATTCATACTCTGTCTTTGGCCTGAGGGGCACAACTTCCTGAAGTCTGGTTGATATCTCTGGTATAGGAAAGCGACAATGCAGTTTAATGGGAATCTAGACAAAAACACCTGCTGTCCTCCGCCCAACACCTCTTTCTGCTCTCCTTCCATCTGGAAATCACTACTGCGTGATTATCCCATGGAGGTGTGAGACGAAGCGCAGGCAGTGGGTGTGGGTATGGTCTGTGTTGTCTCCATTCAAGTTGCCCTGACTCACTTTCAGGGCGTAAATTAAAGGCAGCTGCTACAGCTACCACTAATTTGACAGAAAGCACCTACTATGTACCAGGTAGTGTGCTTTATCTAGGTATCTCATAGCCTATCATCATGTGTTTGCAGAGGCTGAGTTGTATCTGCTCAAGGTCCCACCACTGGCAATCAGTAGGACTGAGCTGTTAGTTAGCTCCTCCTCTTCCCCCTGGTACTTGTTGGTCAGTTCCACACCTGTGCCTCACTGGCCTGGAGGGTGCATGTGGAGGCTCCAGGAGTCTGAAAAGAGGGAGAAGCACGGATTTATGGCCACGGCCATATCCAGAGAGCATTAGTTTGTCTGGTTTCCCTACTTGCAGAGCATCAGCTATAGAACTATCGAGTCAACTGAAATGTGAAGTGCATTCTATTATTATTATTGGTAGCAGGAGCACTCTTGTTCCCCGTTTCCTACTCTGGCTTCTTCTGATAATAGCATTTATCATGCTCAGGTGGGGAAAATTACCACACTGCATCCAACTGCCTTTTATTTCAGGCACTTAAACTTTAAATTTTTTTCTATTTATTTATTTACTTGAAAGGCAATCTCCCATTCAGTGATATACTCCTCAAATGCCCACAACAGCTGGACTGAGCCAGACTGAAGCCAGGAGCCTGCAATTCAATCTGGGTGTCCCAGAGGGTGTCAGGGACCTGATAACTTGAGCCACCACTTGCTGCCTCCCATTGTGTGCGTTAGTAGGGAGCTAGAATAGGAAGTGGAGACAGAACTTGAACCCAGACACTTCTAGGTCAAATGTCCACCCCTCAGGTGCTTTCTTGAGAAAGAAAATAGATTTCCTTGGCACTCTCCATTCACTGAGGTACCCCAGCACCCTGAATGGGTATTTGTTGAATGCCATATTGGTCTTTTAAAAGAAATTTGCTTCAAAAGACAAAGTAATAAATACTAATGAGAATGTGGAGAAATGGAAACTCTTATATACTGTTGGTAGGAATGTAAATTAATACATACTATGGAAAACAGGACAGAGATTCCTAAAAAAACTAGAAATAGAAGTGCCATAAGATCCAGCAATCCCACTACTGGGTATATCCCCCAAAGACATGATATCATATCACAGAGATGCCTGCTCCACCATGTTTGTGGCAGCATTGTTCATAACAGCCAATACAGGGGGTCAACCCAAGTGTCCATGATCAGATGAATGGATGAGAAAATACAATATATATACATGGTGAAATATCAGTCATCCATAAAAAATTAAATCCTGTTATTTGCAGAAAAATGGATGTAACTGGAGGACATGAAGTGAAATGAGGCAGATACAGAAAAAAAAAATACCATGTGCTCTCCCCTCAAATGTGGAAGCTATAAAAAAAACCCTCAATGTGACCACAGAATGGCAATTATGAGATACTGGGAGGGTAAGGAGATAGAGGAAGTTTAGATATATGCACCAAATCAGGGTCAGATCAAAGGAATAAGTTCCTAATGTTACACAGAATAGTGGGGTGACTATAGTTCCCATTAACCTTGTAGGTATTTTATAAATAAATAGAAAAAAAAGGCATCAAGCCTTGGCTGTGTTCTTAGAATAAATCTATCAAAGGATGTTGGGTCCTCAGATAGGGAGACTTGGAAACTCTGTTGATGGAGACTAAAACTCCCCCACATTTGGTTAAGGGGCTTTGGACGTTCTCCACTGTCTCTAGAGGAAGGATCAGCAAATTATTTTCTCAAAGATTGCAAATATTTCATATAATCATGAAGGCATATAAAGTGAATGGGTGTGGCTGTGTTCCAATAAAACTTTATTTATAAAAACAGGAGGTCCAGGCTTAATTTGCTAAACCTTATCCTAGGGAGAGGCTCATTTCAGAATATCTGGACATTCTGAATGGATATTCATCATCCAGTATTTTCTCTTTGTGTCAGAGCACCTATGCTCCAACTGCTGTGCTTTGATATGAATTACCAAATGAAGAGTATCAAAACTATTGGCTTAGTTTGTTTTATGTGAAGACTCCAATTGGAAGACACATTAGCAGGTCATGATATGTTATACTTCCTAGCATCAAGCTAGAGCTAGGATGACATTCACTTAAGTGCATTTGTCTAGAATACAGTGAAGCAATACAGTTGCTTGAGAACAGAGAAGAGTAAATAGTGGAGCCCCTGTTCTGGTTGGATTACCAACCACCTCAACTCTGAAACTTACAATGATTAGTATGAACAGACTAATACAAAGCCTAAACTTGCTTTTTCCAGGAAACTTTTCCTAGTCCTCTAAAATGTCTTTTATATTATAAGGAGGTTCTCTGGTCAGAGATAGAGGCTGAAGGAATAAAGAATGAGGTGGTGCAGCAAGATATACAGATTATCAACTACGTAAACAGAAAAATCTACCCTGCCTACTCTTATCTCTGCAAAGTGACTCCTCAGCTTGCTTTTTAATCTGAAAGACTGCTAATTAAAAATGCACAAATATGTTCGCATTCTTCTGTTAGAAAATAACTGTCCTTATTTGAGTCCCTACAGACAAAAATTTTTTTGTAAGTGCTTTTAAAATCAGTATTTTGCTCGACAAGATGCCACACAACCACCTAACAGCCAGCTCCCCAGCCTCTCTGTGATGCATGGCAGCTAAGGAATCACGTCATCCTACTGGAGGGGAGTCACAGGCCGGCCGGCCACGGGAACAAATGCCTACAGCAGAGCTGCTGTGCTGAGCGTATTCTGCGATGACTAAGCTGGGCCAATCTGAGCAGCTTTAGGAGGCAAGGACCAGTTTCCACTTTACCTTTCTTGTAAAAACAGAATTTTTCCTTCTTGAAAACAAAAATTATCACAGAGATCAGCAGGTTGTCAGGTATAGCATTTATAGGCATTTCAAAAGATTACAGTCAATTTGAAATGTTGAACGGATAATAGCTTGTCAAGACTCTGTATTGTTTACATTTGCAAGTTTTTATCAGACATTGCAATGTTAAAGAGAGATTATTTGAACTTCTAGTAGGTAGTAGTAGTGTCTGAGGGTGACAGGTAACTGGGTCATACAGTACAGCTCGTGTCCATATCCCATGAGAATTTTGCAGAATGCTGCATTATGTAAACTGCTACTGCAAAAGATGCCATTATTGCACGGAACTTCCCACACTATCCTCAAGTAAATCGTGTGGCCTCCTCACAGATGAGCGTCTTGCCTTTGAGAAGACGCAGGAGAAAACAGACTTTCCACAGAAACCAGCAGTCAGAGTCCTTGTGTGAGAGTCAGTACATTTTCATTTTGTTGGCTTTCTTTCCCACTTCATTTATTTTTCTGCAAACATGTATTCACCTGCCCTATAAACCAGGTACCATACCAGGCTCTGTGGATACACAGGAACAAAAATACAGTCAAGTTCCTGCCCAATGGAGCTTACATTCTAGTAGGGGAGACAAACACACAAATAGATATCATCACAGGCATCCAGAATGGCTTAGAGATATCCCTCCTGCAATCTGCAGGCTGCATGTCTTCATTTTTGGGCAATGATGAAGTGAGGAGAGAGGCCAAGAACAGGCTACATCAATTTTCTAGTCCAGCTCCACCATCTATACATTGGGTGGATTTAAAGGAATCCTTTACCCAACTGGAGCCTCACTTCCCTTACCTATAAAAATGGGAAGGGATTGGATTAAATGGCTTATTAAGGGACAAAATTCTCTTAGGATTTTATTTTTCATGGTCTTATTGAAACATCTTGTATAAAGTCAGGATCCAATTTGCCGACTGTTCTAAAATTTTTTTAATTTTTAATTTTTTTATTTTTGACAGGCAGAGTGGACAGTGAGAGAGAGAGACAGAGAGAAAGGTCTTCCTTTGCCGTTGGTTCACCCTCCAATGGCCGCCGCGGCCGGCGCGCTGCGGCCGGCGCACCGCGCTGATCCCATGGCAGGAGCCAGGAGCCAGGTGCTTTTCCTGGTCTCCCATGGGGTGCAGGGCCCAAGGACTTGGGCCATCCTCCACTGCACTCCCTGGCCACAGCAGAGGGCTGGCCTGGAAGAAGGGCAACCGGGACAGAATCCGGCGCCCCGACCGGGACTAGAACCCGGTGTGCCGGCGCCCCTAGGCGGAGGATTAGCCTAGTGAGCCGCGGCGCCGGCCTGTTCTAAAATTTTTAAAAAATATTTAAAATGCAAGAAATCTGTAAGTATTCCACATACACAATTCTTCAAACACCAATCTAAACTTCTTTCATAAATATCACATGTATTAATTATAGTTGCTACAGAATGAGGTTCTTTTATCATCTTTATCCACAGGAGAAGTAGTTTATTCATAAGAACATTGTCGTTTCCATTGTTAGGAATCCTAGCTCACTTGTGAAATGTTCCCTGGTGATGAAATCCTCTCCTGGGCACGACACTGCCTCTCTCGTCTACTCACATCCTGGACTTTGTGCTCCTGTTTAACCTTTTGGACTGCAGAAAGCAACTGAGTGCTTGCTTCTCTAAAGAACAGCCCAAACGAGAGTCTGCCCAGGCAGTCACGGTTCCTGCACGTGCACCAGAAGGTGGCAGATCTTTTGGGAACCCACATCAGCTCTTTGGACTGGACTGTAGTTCTGTCTAATAAAATTTGATCTTTATTCAACCAAGGGGTATTCTAAATTCTGAAAAGAAATAATGGGTTTCCAGAAAAATTTATCCAGAAGCACAACGTGGATTAATAAATATTCTAACTTTTTTGGAAGCCCTGTTGGAATGTTAATGAACCTTTAATAATGCAAGTGAAGCAGAACATATCTTGTAATTGATTACTTTTTCTTCAAGAACAGCTCTGAGTGGGAGAGCTGAATGTCAAATAAGGTTAGGCTCGTATTTGTTAACTTGGTAGGAATTACGAAGCTTTTGATTCTCTAGAAAGACAAATTGTACTCAATGGTTTGATTATGAAATTGAGAAATTCAAGTTCCAATGAATCCAGTGGCTAAGGGTGACAGGAAATTTTACAGGACGAGGAGTCTTCTTTTGTCATCTGGATCAGATCCCCACTGACACCTGGGAGGTTTCTGAAGGTTAAACGCTCTGTTATCTGCTTTCTGTGTAATCAAACACCCTACACACTATCGAATGTGATCAGGTGATCTCTATCACAAGGACACATCTTGTCAGTGCCTTTAGGAACAAAGTGAGATCTCTGCTTCAAAATTTAATTTAATTCCTTCTGCTGCTCTGTGTGTTAAGATCTAGTGCCAGTGTTATCTGAAACTCCTAACACAGGCTACTGTGTGGACCAAATTCTGTCCTGTCCTCACAGTAAACTGAAAAGAATAATGGTCAAACCCTTGGAGGCATGAACACTACTACTTTTGGACCAGATGAGCAGGAGCATCCCATTAAACCTTTAAGGATCTTGATCAACCTCACGTCTCCTAAAAACAAACGGTGGCTCAACAGTGCCTACGTGAACGAGGAGATGACAGCGGATCCAGCAGACAATGGCTGCTGAGATGAAAGTAAGGAAAGATGAGAAGAGGTCCAGACAGCTCTTCAGGACTTGGAGTACAGTCGCCAGTGAAGTCTCGTTAGCACAGATGGATTCTGGTGTGTGTTCTGGAATTTGATGATGTGTTTTGAGTTGTTGGGTGCTGCCAACAGGAGTGCAGTCCCCTTTTCACAAGTGCAGGCAAGAGGAATGATAAAGCCATGCTGACATTCAGTGTCCTTATATCAGCACGAGGGCAGCCCTTCTCAGCAATTCCAAAGGGTCCCTGGGTTGGGCCCAAGGGTATACCCAGCACAGCTATGGCTGTGAGGTCCCCAGAAAGAGTCTGTGTGCAGTGTGATCTTCAGGGTGAAGTCCTTAAGCTGCAAATGAGTGTAATTCTTAAGTCCAAACCTCCATAGGCACTATGGCTTCTTTGGTTCCAATGGAAGGCAGTAGACTTTCTTCAGACAAGAAATAAAAGGGGAACTGCACCAAGAACCCGCGGATCTTTTTCAGTTCCTCTTCAGCTCTACTGGGATCTTCCTTTGCTAATATGGGCTTGGTTATAAAGTCTCTCAGCTGAATTAAGTTGTGTACCTCGTCATTGGGTAGGCACCGGAACACCTGATTAAAACAAATAGGAAACTGACCAGTTTAAAAGAAATCATGTTCTCTTTATGGAAAATATTCATTCCAACAGGCAAAATCTTTATTTGATTACATACATTAGTTCTATGTTAAAACAGATTTAAATTTAAGAGTTGCTCTCTTATTTGCTACAAAGAGACTGCTAGATTTTCCTCTATTAAGAAATTTTAGCTACTCACAGATATGACTTCACTCGCTCAATTGCCTTGCTTGGCTTCCTCTGCAACCATGTCTGACACACCCACTATGGCTGAAATGGAGAAATTCCGTAAGCTGAAACTTAAGAAGGGAGATCCAAGATGGCGGAATATGGAAAAGACATGCCGAGTCTGACCACTGACTAGACAGCAGAAGAAAGGGGGAGGAGCTGCATTCCCAGGGGGCAGTTGGAGCAAAGTCTGCAGTGGGAAATCTCCAGAAAGAAGAGAGACTCTGTGGAGCAGCAGGGATGATACAGTCAGTCACACAGTGGCGAGTGGGACATCTCTGGCAACCCCCTTGGCTGGTGGCTGCTGGGGAAGACATCTTGGAGCGCAGAGGAAGGAACTTCTGTTGCAGCTGGAGTCACTAGTGATACTGCCTGAGGGAGAACCTCACGAACCCCGCTGACTCCGAGTCCCACCTGGAGCACTGGTAGGGGACAGAGTACCAACCTAACCCCATGAAGGGAGAGCACATAGCTTTCATCCAATCCCCCCACCAAGGGCACCCAGTAACTAGCAGGAAGCACCATCTTAATAAGGCAAGTAGAGGCTGCTGTGGCCTGCTTGTGACTGGAGGACTTTATGGGGGGGAGACCCACAGTCCCCACTGCCACTGAGTCTTGTCTGCAGGGCACCCATTGAGGCCTTTAAGTGCCTCCCTCCCTTCACTTTCTCAAGGCAACTGGACTACACTTGCCACGGTGGAGCACCGACCAACATCTATTGGGCAGACAGCTGACTCTGGGAATGCCATGGCTCCGCCATGGACAGGGGAAGCTTGCGGAGCTGAGAGTGGATCCCTGCTCCCTGTGACTGTGGGAGCCCTGTGCATTGTGAATGGCAATTCTGTGAGTGTGTGATAGGGCATAAGGTGTGGTCGTGCCTTTCAGCAACCCCTGTGTCTGGCTTCAGAGGCTCAGAGATCCCTGAGTGCCTGGAGTGTGTCATTGCAGAGGGTTCTGCGCCCACACTGAAGAGCGTGCAAATCCTTTGTGCAGTTTCTGTGCCTGCATGGGTGGGGTGAGTAGCCACTGTGGGCTCACCCTGGGCAGCTGGTTCACCACGGCAGAGAGGGGGTAAAGCTGTGATCATGCCAGCCGATGTGATTATATTCTCCACCCTGCTGTTGATAGACAAGATCCACCATGTCCATCTTGGTGTCACTCTGGATTCTCGCCCCACCCTCAAGCACTGGCAAGAGCTTCTTGGCTCCACCCAGCACATGCCTCTGGATATCCACTGAAGAACAGATACTCCACTAAGCCAGACAGGCATACTTCAAAGATAAAAGCCCTCAGAAAAGAAAATCAAGAAGTGTTTCTAAAAATGGCTAAAATACGCATAGAATACAAGAATCATGAAAAAGACAATGACTCCCCGAAAGGAACATAATAACCCTTCAACATTAGAATGTGAAGACGAAGAGACTGATGAAATACCTGAAAATAATGATCATAAGGTTACTCAAAAACACAGAGAAGCAAATACATGTCTTAAAGAAATCCATACATGATATGGATGAGAATTCTGCCAGGAGTCAGATATACTGAAGAGAAACTGAACTATTAGAAATGAGGAATTCAATGTTAAATAAAAACACAGTGGAAAGCCTTAACAACAGACTTGGTGAGGCAGAAGAAGGACTATCTGAGCTAGAAGATAAATCTTTGGAAATACCTCAGACAGAGAAAGAGAAGAAAAAGTCAGAAAAAACCAAAAAGACAGTGTTTGGAAATTTATGGGATACTATCAAATGACCAAACATCTGTGTCTTAGGAGTTCCTGAATGTGTGGGAAGATTGAATGGATTAGAAGACACATTCAGTGAAGCAACACTAGAAAACATCCCTAATTTGGAGAAAGATAGGGATATCCAAGTACAGGAAGCACATAAAACTCACAGGAGGCATGGCTAGAAAAGATTTCACAACAACACATTAAACTTTCAAAAGCAAAACATGAAAGATCCTAAGGCATGTATGAGAGAAATGCTAGATAATCTTCAAAGGACCTCCAATGACTGACAGTTGACTTCTCATCTGATATCCTAAAAGATAGGAGACAATGGAAAGACATAGTCCAAGCCCTAAGAGAAAAAACCATTAACCTAGAATACTGTACCTAGTGATGCTCTCATTTATAAATGAAGGTGAAATACAGATCTTCTAAAACAAACAGAAATTGAAAGAATACCATGCATCCAGCCTTATCAATGATACTTAAGGATATGTTAAATACAAAAAAACAGAGATAGACAGTCATTATCCTGAAACAATATGAAGGCAGAAAATCTCCTAGTAAGATCACATAAACAAGACTAATGTCTGCTAATACTAACTGATAGAATTAAAAAGGATAGAACGATCCAACATGGGAAGCAGGATACACAGCAGACTCATAGAATGGCAGATGTCCTAAACAGCACTCTGGCCTCAGAATCAGCCCTTAAGGCATTCAGATCCAGCTAAAAAGCCCATGAGAGTTTCTCAGGCATGGAAAGCCAAGACACTGTGGTTAAAAAAAAAAATGACCTAAATGAAAGATCTCTGTGAGTGAGATCCCAGCAGAAAGAACGGGCCATCAAAGAAGGAGGTACCTTTCTCTGAAGGGAAGAGAGAACTTCCACTTTGACTATGACTTTGTCTAATTAAGATCAATGTCCGTGAACTCAAAAGGCTTCCATAGCCTTGGCAACTCATCACAAGAGCCTCGGGTGATTACTGACAGCATAAACAAGAGTGTCAATTGTTAAATCAACAACAGGAGTCACTGTGCACTTACTCACCATGTAGGATCTCTGTCCTTAATGTGTTGTACTGTGTGAATTAACGGTATAACTAGTACTCAAACAGTACTTTACACTTTGTGTTTCTGTATGGGTGCAAACTGTTGAAATCTTTACTTAGTATATATTAAATTGGTCTTCTGTATATAAAGAGAATTAAAAATGAATCTTGATGTGAATGGGATGGGAGAGGGAGCAGGAGATGGGATGGTTGCGAGTGGGAGGGAGGTTATGGGGGAAAAAAGCCACTGTAATTCAAAAGCTGTACCTTGGAAATTTATATTTATTAAATAAAAGTTAAAAAAAGAAAATCTCCTAATGAAAGTACAAAGGAAATTCAAAACAAAAAATAGGAATATTTATGGAAACATGGCAGGACCAAGTGATTACTTATCAATAATAACCCTGAATGCAAATGGCCTAAATTCTGCAATTAAAAGATATAGTCTGAGTAATTAAAAAACAAGACCTATCTATTTGTTGCCTACAAGAAACTTAAGTCACCAACAAAGATACACCCAGACGGAAAGCGAAAGGATGGAAAAAGATAGTCCATGCTAGCAGAAAGCAAAAATGAGCAGGAGTAGTCTTCATAATATCAGACAAAATAGTAACACAAAGATTGTAAAAAGGGACAAAGCAGGGCATTATGTAATGATTAAGGGATCAATTCAACAGGAAGATGCACCTGATGCTAAGGTCTCTGGCTATTTCAAACAAACATTAAGGGATCTAAAGGGAGAAGAGACGCTAATACAATAATAATGGCGGACCTCAACACCCTACTTTCATCAATGGACAGATCAACTAGAGAAAAAAATCAACAAAGAAAAGAACAGAGCTAATCTACACTATTGATCAAATGGACCTGAATGTACAGAACATTTCATCTCATAGCTGAAGAACACACATTCTTTTCATCAGCACATGAAACTTTCTCTAGGCCATAAAGCAAGTCTCAACAAATTCAGAAAACATAAACTGTATCTTTTCTGACTACAATGGAATGAAGCTAGGAATTAATAACTTTAAAAACTCTAGAAAATATGTAAAAACATGCTGCAGAATGAACAGTGGGTCACAGAAGAAATTGATAGAGAAATCAAAAATTTCCTAGAAACGAATGAAGATGACCACACAACATATTAAAACCTATGCAATATAGCAAAAGCAGTGTTAGGAGGAAAGTTTATACCAATTAGTGCCTATATCAAGAAATCAGAGGGGCTGGCACTGTGATGTAGTAGGCTAAGCCTCTGTGTGCAGCGGCAGCATCCCATATGGGTGCCGGGTCAAGTCCCGGCTGCACCTCTTATGATCCAGCTCTCTGCTTATGGCCTGGGAAAGAACTTAAAGATCGCCTGAGTATTTGAGTCCCTACATACAAGTGGGAGACCTGGAGGAAGCTCCTGGCTCTTGACTTTGGATTGGCCCAGCTCCAGCAGTTGTGGCCATTTGGGGAGTGAACTAGCAGATGAAAGATCTCTCTCTCTCCCTGTCTGTAACTCTGCCTCTCAAATAAATAAATAAAATCTTTTTTAAAAAAGAAAAGAAATTGGGAAGGCATCAAATAATTGATCCAACAATGTATATCATGGATCTAGAAAAACAAGAACAAACCAAACCCAAAATTATAGGAGAAAGAAATAATAAAAATTAGAGAATAAACAAAATTGAAACCCTCCAAAGAGATACAATAGATCAATGAAATGAAGAATTGTTTTTTTGAAAAAATAAACAAAACTGATACACCACTGGCCCAAACAACTAAAAAAAGATCCAAATTAATACAATTAGAGATGAAAAAGATGTTATAATATATACCAAAAATAAGAATCATTAGAAATTACCACAAACAGCTATATGCCAAGAAAATGGAAAATCTAGAAGAAATGGATAATTTCTAGAAATATAATGATGTACCAAAATTGAGTCATGAAGACACAGAAAACGTAAATAACCAAGATGGAGACTGAATCAGTAATAAAGGCCCTCCCAACAAAGAAAAGCCCAGGACCAGATGGCTTCACTGCTGAATCCTACCAAACTTTTAAAGAACTAATTCCAGTTCTTCTCAAACTATTCAAAACAACTGAAAGGGAGGGAAACCTCCCAAATTCATTCTATATGGCCAGCATCACCTTAATTCCAAAGCCAGAAAAAAGACACAGCAAAGGAAGACATCTATAGACCAAAATCCCTGATGTATATGGATGCAAAAACCTTCAACAAGGGGCCGGTTCCGTGGCTTGGTTAATCCTCTGCCTGAGGTGCCGGCATCACATATTGGCTCCAGGTTCTAGTCCCGGTTGCTCCTCTTCCAGTCCAGCTCTCTGCTGTGGCCCGGGAAAGCAGTGGAGGATGGCCCAAGTGCTTGGGCCCCTGCACCTGCATGGGAGACCAGGAGGAAGCACCTGGCTCCTGGCTTTGGATCGGCACAGCACCAGCTGTAGCGGCCATTTGGGGGGTAAACCAATGGAAGGAGGACCTTTCTCTCTGTCTCTCTCTCTCACTGTCTAATTCTATCTGTCAAATAAAAAAAAAAAACCTTCAACAAAATACTAACTAATCAAATCCAACAGCACATCAAAGATATCATTCACCCGGACCAAGTGGGATTTATCTCTGGTATGCAGGGATAGTTCCACATGTGCAAATAAACAAATGTGATACATCACATTAACAAACTGAGGAATAAAAACCATATGATTATCTCAATAGATACAGATAAAGCATTTGCTAAAATGCAACATCTTTTCATGATAAAAAAAAAAAAAAACCTTTAGCAAATTAGGCATAGAAAGAACATTCCTTAACACAATCAAGGCAATGTATGACAAACCCACAGCCAGCACCATATTGAATAGGGAAAAGCTGGAAGCATTTCCACTAAGATCCAGAATGAGACAAGGATGCCCATTCTCACCATTACTATTCAATATACTTCTGGAAGGTTTAGCCAGAGTTGTTAGACAAGACAAAGAAATCAAAGGGACACAAATGGGAAAGGAGGAAGTCAAATTATCCCTCTTTGCAGATGATAGGATCCTATACCCAAGGAAATCAAAAGACTCCATGAAAAGATTACTGGAACTCACAAGAGAGTTTGGCAAAGTTGCAGGATATGAAATCAATGCAAAAAAAAAAAATGACAACCTTTGTATACACAAACAATGGTATGGTTGAGCAAGAACTTACAAGATCAGTCTCATTCACAATAGGTTCAAAAAACTGAAATAAATTTAAGTATATTTAGATACATTTATCTGAGGAGGTGAAAGATCTCTACAATGAAAATTACTATACATTAGGGAAAGAAATTGTGGAATACATACACAACGGAACACTTCTTGGCTATCAAAAAGAATGAAATCCAGTCTTTTGCAACAAAATGGATGAAACTACAGGCCATTATGCTTGGTAAAATAAGCCAATCACCAAAAGACAAATGCCATACGTTTTCCCTGATCAGTGGAAACTAATACATAGCGTACAAAAAAAAAAAAAAAAAAAAGTCACATATCTGAGGGATACTGACATCTGGAGATTTGATTTTGTTTATAGTCCTTGTCTATACTCTTGAGGAACAGTAGATTTTCTACTTTGTACTTGTTGAATTCTTTATTAGTGGAGGGCTAAGCTTGTCATTGTAAAAATTAAAATAAAAATAAGAAAAGAAAAAGGAGGGAGGCTGGGAGTGAAGGTGTGGTGGGAAATACAATTATGCTCTTAAAACTGTATATATTAAACACATGAAATTTGTTCCCTGTATATAAATAAAAAAATAGAAAAAGAAACTGAAGAAGACAGAAATGCAAGAAACGACTGAACAAGAGAAGCGCGCCGGCGAGTTGTAAGGAGGCGTGAGCTATCAATACGCACTGCACATTCCACAAACACTGCCTTCTTATTTTACTTCTTTTAGCTGTTTAATTTTGCAAGATGCCAAGGAGGGTTGGATCAAGTTTAAAAGTCTGTGCTGCCCCTTTCACGTCAAAGAATGGAGAACTGACCATGAAGGCCAGGCCTGCTCCCTTCTGGCAGCAGGGAAGGAAAAGAACATCTCTGTTGGTGAAGAAGAAGCTGGGTGGGCGCCGGTGAAACCCAGAGGAAAATCCAACCTGACCCAAGGCGTCCTTCAGGCTGTAACGTGCAGCTTAATAAGAGTGTCATTTTTTTATTCGAATGCTTTTAATTATTGGAATGCACAATTTTTAAAGATGCAAATAAAGTTTTAAAGCCTGAAAATAAATTATAGCTAGATTCTTACACCTGATCTACATAGGTCGTTAACCCCAGAATAAAGTAAAGCTAGTACAGGATTTTTACCGATTTTTACCAATAAGGTTAATGTTTTGGATAACAATCATCCGTGAACTTCACAGGTTATGGTCTAAGAAGAAAACTGCATATTGCATTTTATTTTGAAGGATGTTCATATTTCTACCTTTACTTAGAGTTATCAATTATTAATATATAACACTTGGCTGATTGAAAATGACTTTCAGACATCATAACATCTCATCCTTAAATATTTCATCATGTATCTTTTAAGAATAAAGACATTTGGCTGTGTAATCACACTACCATTCTCAAACCTACGAAAATTAATTCCATGTGTCATTTAAATATGACCCACATTCAGATTTATCCTAATATCTCTAAAATGTCTTTTATAGACATCTTCCCCCAATTTAGCACCCAAATAAGGCTGTGAGCTACGCTTCTAAAATTACATTGTAAGAGATTCCATGTACATGACCTATTTGATCATGACCTTGAATAGTGTGAAATAAGGCTATGTAGATATTTGTCATGTTTCATTAAGAAAGGGGACGTCACCACGCTCCAAGGGACTGTGGAAGTCACAAAGAATCACTCTTCCCCAATTTCTTATAGATCACCAGTGAATCTCAGCTGGAGTACCTTCCACAGTGAGAAGCTGGCTCCCCTATCACGAGGTAACTTGCTCTGCTACCGCACAGCTCTTGACTCTTGTACATTCTTTATCATAACTGGTGGGTAGAACTTACCAGAATCTACATTTTCTATGCATCCAATGGAGCTGCTAAAATTTAGAAGACTTTTCTAAAGTTATAGTTGTCCAATGTTGCTCCCCGTCTTCGTGGAGGAACGACACAGGACCCTGCGCTGTTCTTTTGTCTGCTCGGCCCTCCCCGGGTTTGCTGCTGGTTCTTCCCGGGGTTGGCTACCGTCCCTTCCACCTCTGTGGAAGGGCGGTTCCCCCTGCCACTTTCCCCACTTCCGCGGGGGAGCGGCACACCGCCGGCCGGCTCTCTCGGGGGCTGCTCAGATGTTATCCGGATGTTCCTGGTGCATGTCGTCTCTCTCCTCCTTTATAGTCCTCTTCCACCAATCCCAACTCTGCTACCCACACGCCGAGTACGCTGCTCTCCTCCAATCAGGAGTAGGTCCTACAGTTTATTGGTTGAACTGGAGGCAGCTGTGTAGAAGCTATTTCGTCCTCTCCCAGCGCCATATTGTGGGAGAGCAGATGCATAGAATAAGTCTTAATTCCAGTAACTTAGTCTAGTCCGAATTGCTCCCCACAGTCCAACATAGGACAGGTCTCCTCATTAGTAACTTAACTTAAAAAGGATGGATACTATTTAATATACCTAAGAGCTAAATACAATTAATGCAAAGTAGGTATTTTTTATTTTCATAACCACTCTAGAGTCTATCCCTTCCAATGTACAGGGAGGAAAGGAGGACTCGGGAATCTATTCACTGTACACAAAGTGGCGTCACCTGCAGCCAGGTGGGGGACTGGATGCAGGTCTGAGATTTCCATTTGCCTTTCTTCTGCTTGCCACTAAACATTTTCAACAGCTGGGTAACCGTGAGTGAGGGATACATAGGATGAGATTCACACACCACATGAGAGGTTGAAATGCTGCTATTCCCTTCTAAACATAAATCCATCATGCTTTTTGACTCAAGTTTCTAATGTCTACAGAGAGGTATCCTGACCACCTGGAAATCTATCGGTTCCTTAACACTCATGGAGAATTTCCTGTATCTACCAAATGGAGAAATAATGATGTAGTTTTGGGGATGAAATTCAATGAAAAACAGGTGGTGGCAGGATATACGAACCTTACCTTATCATAAATTGTAGCATTTCGAGCTGCTGTTGAAACCCATATCTCCTTGAAGAATTTGTCGCTCACAGGATCCTGAATGTCCTCGCTGGGGTCAGAAAGATAGCCCAGGACAACCCTGAAATACAAGTACCCTCAAAACTGAGTAGTGCAGATAAAGAAGTTTGTGGTTGGCATTGTTTCTGCTGGGAGCTGTAATTCAGACGCTCAGCCTCAGATGTCTTTTTGTTTTTTTAAAGAAATCAAAGGGAGCCATTAAAACTAAATAAAATGTATAATACATGATGCATCTCCTAAGTAGCAAAACAAAATAGAACAAAAACCAAAACCTACATTGCTTTGATGCTTGAATGGTTTAATTGTCGGACAGAAAGACTCTAATTTTGTTCTAAGAGGATCCTTGTAATTTGGCATGGAAGACAGAATTAGCCCTCAAAACAAGTACCAGAAAATGTGTTAAGCCCTTTCAAGGGCTGTCTCACTAAATCCTCAGTAACTCTATGAAAAAACAACTCTTACTATTGTTATTTCACAGATAAAGGGACTGAGGGAGGTTAAATAACATGTTCAAGTTCATATGAGGTCAGTAGTAGAGCTGAGATCCCCATCAGCGCCTGCCTTCCTCCTTCCCTCCTCCCTGTCCCCCATCTGTGCCCATTCCCCTCCCTGCACATCTCTCTCCTCTTCCCTCAGCACTTCGCTGAGTTCTAAGGCACAGGAAAGGGTAAGAAAGACATGGAACTCTCTGGGTAGAGTTGTGTTTGGTGGGGGGAGTCCAAGAATGAAGAAATGTTCCCTTTTAAAAGGTAGCCTTTTTTTTTTTTTTTTTTGACAGGCAGAGTGGACAGTGAGAGAGAGACAGAGAGAAAGGTTTTCCTTTGCCGTCGGTTCACCCTCCAATGGCCGGCGCGGCCGGCGCGCTGCGGCCGGCGCATAAAAGGTAGTCTTAACAGTGATAAACACAGAGTATATGTTAACAGCATGCAATGGGTGTGGTCAGGGAGATTTTTTCCTCTCCCAACTATTAACCTGAACCCACCTATTGGTTTTTAGGCTTCAGCACAAAATGAGTTCTCCAAAACTTTCACTGGCTCCCTTTTTCTCATCTCCCACTTACATCTAGGAGAGCTGAACATTGCGCCTTGGTTCCCTACTGTACTTTGTATAGGCTTTGTTTTTGCCAGGGCACCTGAAATGTCTCATGCACTTTTTATGTTTAACAGGGGCATCTCCCACTTTTGGAATGCAAATTCTTGGAAAGATTATGACCTGGTTACTCTCCTACCCCCAGAGTACCTGGCATAATGGAAGCCACAGATGAGATGCTATCTGAATTGACCATATATAAACAGAGAATGAGAAATAACAAGAAATTCTTAAGCTCAGAAAGACAAGTTTTAGAAGTGATATTTTAAATTACAATAACCCTAGCACTTACAGAAGGATGTAGGATACAGCACATTTCTACCTTGCATCTTGTCAGGTGGAAGGGACAAATGATCCCCATTTTCTGAGTGGGGAACTGAGGTTTGGAGACATCGACTAGTAATTGAGCTGGAATGCAAACTGCATCCAGAGCCCTTTTCTCACATGCCTTGTTCATTCAAAGAAACCCCCAAAAGGCCTGTGATACCTGGAAAGAGCGATGGGAAAATAGGCGTATAAGGACTTTGGCTTTTACACTCAATGAAGTAGAGACTCACTGTAGACATCAAGGCAGAGAAGCAGCAGGATCTGATGTACACATTAAATACGGCTGTTATGCTGAGGGGCCAGGGTTCCAACAGGAAGACCAGTCTGGAACCACCACTGTAATCTAGGTGAGACATGATGGTGACTTGGGCCTGAGTACTAGTGGGGAAGAAAACAGAGCCAACAGGTTTTACTGAGAGTGGAGGCAGTTTGAGCAAGAGTGAGGCATCAAAGATGACAAAAAGGTTTTGCTCTTGACCAACTAGAAGAATATAGTTGCCCTTTGCTGAGATGGGGAGTTCTGTGGGTGGAACTAGTTGGTGGGAGAAGAGTAGGAATTCAATTTGGAGCCTGTTGGGACATCTAATCTCAAACATCGAAGTGGCAACACTGAGCAGGCCATTCTATAAATGGGACTGGAGTTTGGGAGAGAAGGCTTGACTGGGAGTAGAAATTGGAGAATTGTATTGGCATCTAAGCTTATGGAGCTGTATGTTTTTTATCAAGCTCTCCAGAGGCGTGGGTATACACAGAGGAGGAAGACCTGGTGCACCCCAACAGCAGTGGAGAAGAGGAGCAACCAGCAAGGCTGGAGAGAAGCCAGGGGTGTGGTGTCTTACAATCACATCAGGAAATATGTCAAGGAGATCTGTGCCAGCACAGGCAAGGACTGCTCACTGGGTTTAGTGCCGTCGATGTTGTTATACTGTTACCTTCTTTGTGTTTAGATACATGTTAACTGACATCATCATTGTCATGGGTTTAGAGCTTCCAATCAATATGAACGTTTTAAGCATTCTTTTACTATGAATTTGAGTGGTTGCCAGTTTTTCATTATTATGAACAATGCACCAGTAAACATAATTTATTCATCATATATAACTTTTGCGAGTTTCTGTAAACTTTTAATTAGAAAAAATCCTAGAATTAAAATTCCTGGGCCAAAGAATATACAACATTACTCCAAGAAAGGTTGTAGCAACACAGCCACTGTTAACCATGCATCTCTCTCCAGTCATCGCCAACATTATCAACTCTTGAAATCACTCAACTTTATAGGGGTAAAAGAGAAACTCATTTTAGTCTGTACTCTTTCTGCTTTATAAAAAGTCTTCAAGATAAAAAGATCTGAGCTCACTAGGATTCTTGAGTTTTATGAGCCCAGATTTCTATTTCTACTTCAAATAGTGCCTCCTTCACACTACAGGGAAATAACTTTAACACCAACAACAACAGCAACAAAAAACTTAAGGGATGATGTTTGCACATAGATGCTGACTGATAACTGAACCCTATTTGAGAGGTAACTCATTTTATGACAATCAGTAAAGTATAACAACACCTTGATTTGGGCTAGGTCTAAGGAGCTGAAAATTGAGCAAAGAGTATTTTTGTGACGGGCTTTCAAATTAGAACAAGAGGGGTGAGCGTTTGGCCTCCTGGTTAAGATGCTAGTTAGGATGCCTGCATTCCACCTGGGAGTGCCCGAGTTCAATTCCCAGCTCCGGCTTCTGACTCCAGTTTCCTGCTAACACATGTCCTGGGAGGCAGCATGATGACTCAAGCAGCTGGGTTTCTGCCACCCACACAGGAGACCTGGATTGAGTTCCCATTGCTGACATCTGGGGAGTGGGCTCGCGGATGAAAGTTCTCTCTTTCTGCCTCTTTCCCTCTCTGCCTCTTAAATAAATCAAAATTTTAAAGAATTAGAACAAGCAATGAAACAATGTGTCCAGCAAGTTATCGGTTAAGGTCTTGCTCATAGAAGTATTTAAATAAGTTTACAACAAGCAAAGTCTAGCAATATATTATTTTCCCTGTTGACATTTTAATTATAAGAAATTTATGTTAACACATACAAACAACAGGAAGTACTCTGGGTACGATATTGAGGACTAAGGTTTGGAAGGAAAATAGTTTGATTCATCTTATGTATATAATGACGATTATTTAACATTTAATTGTTTACATATCACAGAAAGTAGGAAGGTAGTAAAGCTGCAGTTATTTCTGCTCTTTCCATTCCTCATTCCCACTTCTTCAAGTGATTCCGAACTTACTTGTGTGGATAATGGTTTCTGTTGAGTGATGGTTATATTTGTAAAGTTTGGATAATTTTCTAGGACTTAATGAACTGTTCAGCTCAGAGTTGTGACATTCAGTGCAGTACTCTGATGGCTGATGCTGTCTCTATTTAGAATTGATTTCACATTGAACTGTGTCTATTTCTATTCAAAAATAGCCCAGATGGAAAATGGATTGGAGCTGCGTTTTTTAAGTGAGAAAATGGCTGTGCTCTAGGCCACAATATTTATCTTTGGGAACATTTCCTAATAAAAAGAGGCTAAAATTGACATGAGGTTTTTGTGGTGCTTTTTAATATATCATCTGTATTTGCCATTGGGGCAGAGGGAAAATAATTGTTCAAGAACAAATGTCTCTTTAAGACAGTTTAAAACTTGCTAGGAAAATAAAATACTAGGAATAAACTTAGCGTGAAGTGTATAGGATCAGCATAAAAGTCACTAAATTAGTGAAAAAATTCTCCCCCAATAATGATTTACTGAAGAACAAAAATTTTAAATAAATTGAAGGCATACTGTATTTTTCAATAGAATGACTCAACATTACAGAGATGTCAATTCTTTTTATATTAACCAATAAATCTGTTATAACCCAAGTTGAAAAAAATAAAAAAGGATTTGAGGGAACTTGAGTAAATTTCTAAAGTTCATGTGAAAAATGAATATTTAAGAATAGGCAGGCTGGCACATGGTGCAGCTGGTTAAAGCCCCAGTCTGCAGTGCCAGCATGCCATATGGGCACTGGTTCAAGTACCAGGTGCTCCACTTCCCATCCAGCTTCCTGCTAATGAACCTGCGAAAGCAGTGGAAGATGGCCCAATCCTCGGGCCCCTGCACCCACATGGGAGACCTGGAAGAAGCTCCTGGCTCCTGGCTTCAGATTGGCCCAGATCTGGCTGTTGGGGTCATTTGGGGAGTGAACCAGTGGGTGGAAGACCTCCTCTCTCTCTCTGCTTCTGTCTCTGTAACTCCATCTTTCAAATAAAAAAAATATTTTTTTTTTAAAAAAATAACACAACTCTGGAAAATAATACAGATTTGGGCAAGTGGTATGGCAAAAAGTGGTATTAAAATGCACAGCCATAATAATAAATGTGGTATCACACTGACATGCAAGTGACCATTCTTTCAATGTAGCATTTACAGGACTAGAGAAGGGGCAGAATACATGGCAATTTGGCACATCACCAACAGGCACAGCAGATCACTGAGCCAGGGTACCACTGTGTATCACACAGTTCTGGGTCAGTGGGTTAGCTGGTGGGGGAAGTTACAGCCCCTACTCATTTCTTTTCTTTCTTTTTTTTTAAGATTTATTTATTTATTTTGGAGGTGGAGTTGTTACAGAGAAGAAGAGATACAGAGAGAGGTGTTCCATCTGCTGGTTCACTTCCCAAATGGCCTCAATGGCCAGAGATGGGTCAATCCGGATCCAGGAGTTTCTTTTGGGTCCCCCATGTGGATGCAGGGACCCAAGGACTTGGGCCATCTTCTACTGCCCTCCCAGGCCATAGCAGAGAGCTGGACCAGAAGAGGAGCAGCCTGGACAGGAACCGGCACTGCAGGTGGAGGCTTAGCCCCCTACACCACAGCACCGGGCCTCCTACTCATTTCTTACATTACACTAACCTTAAGATGTCAAATGTAAAAAGCAAAAAGCAAACAAGTACTGGAGGAAAACATAAACACATGTTTGATTTTCACTGAGAAAACTATTCTAATTGTATGGGAAAGGGGGAAAAACAAAAAATACACTGAAAGAGTTGATTAATAAACACTGAAAATTTTTCATGGGACTGGTATAGTAGTGCAGAGGGTTAAGCTGTCACCGGGAAGCCAGCATCCTACATGAGTGCCTGTGTGAGTTCTGGCTGCTCCACTTCCCATCCAGCTCCTGTTAATGTGCCAGGAAAGGGGAGACCGGGATGGAGTTCCAGGCTTCTGGCTTTGGCCTGGCCCAGCTCCAGCTACTGAAGACATTTTGGGGAATGAACCAGCAGATGGAAGATCTTTTCTCTTCTCTCTCTCCCTCTCTCTCTGTCTCAACACTCCAACTCCTAAGTCTGCCTTTCAAATAAATCATTTAAAAAAACTGAAAAATTTCCCCACATACTCCATGATTCAAAGGCAACTGACTAGCCAGATTCACAACACATGTGACAAAGAACTTAGCATCCTATGTAATTAAAGTTCTTATAAATAATTAAGAGAAAATGAGGCCTTCCAACATAATGAGTGAAGAATATGAATAAGTGAGGCAATTTACAAAAGAATAATTACACATGACAAACACATTTAAAAATTCTAAAAAATGAAAATAATGACATTCCATTTGACATCTAACATATTGGCAAGGATTAAATAAAATAATGGAAGTCAGTAAAGGCATGAGGAACAGCCCCTCTAAAACATGGTGAGTGATATAATAAGAAGTTAGGGGGCAGAAAAGCTTCCGTAGCGTAAGGAGACAATCAGTGCCAAGGAGGTATCTACAGACATAATCATTCTTCTCTGTCAGCCACAAACCTGCTGCACAATGAGGTGTTACAGGAGTGAGGGCAGACACATACAAGTGGGGTCTTCAAAACCTTCATGGAAAATCCACCTTCTCTTTTAATTCCATTTCCTTTTTAAAGGTTTATTTATTTACTTGAGAGGCAAAGTTAGAGAGAGAGAAAGAGAGAGACAGGTCTTTGATATGCTGGTTCACTCCCCAAAGTGGCTGTAATGGCTGGAGCTGGGCTGATCTGAAGCCAGGAGTCAGAAGCCTCCCCTGGGTCTCCCAAGTAGGTTCAGGGGGCCAAGCACTTGGACCACCCTCCTCTGCGTTCCCAGGCCATCAGCCATCAGCAGAGTGGGATTGGAAGTGGAGCAGCCGGGTCTCGAACCAGCCCCTGTATGGGATTCTGGCGCCACAGGCAGATGCTTAACCTACTATGCCATTGTGGCCAGCTCCTTTAATTCCATTTCCATGAACTTTCTGACACTTTTAAGTGAAAAAATGACATAGCCACTAAAAGGTTACCAAAAATTTAATAACACACTAAAAACGTGTGTAAAGTTAATAATAAAGAATATTGTAGACCTGCAAGATTCTTATTTTAAAAATACCACATGTAAATACTTAAGTATACAAACAAGGGACATCATATATATGAAATGTTAACATTATTAGCATAGGTCAATTTAATTTTCCTTTCTGTTTTCTTATTTACCACGTTTCTACATTGAAAATGTGTTGTACATCAGAATGCTCAATAATGATCACAAATTTGAAAAGTTATAAAGAAGCCCACACTTTAAAGACAATAGTTAAATCCTCACAGAACCAAAAAGGTCTGGCATATATTTGCAGTTTACGAAAGGAAATATTTGTTTTTGTGTATATGCCGCAGTAGGCCATCGATGAGTGGATTGGCAGGGCACTAATTTTAAATTCTCCCCTGCTGAGCAAAACACGTTAACCTTAGAAGCTAATAGAAATATCAATCACTTGAAAAAAAATTCTTACTGGCAAACTAATTAGTAACAAAAGCAATAAATACAGCAGTGAAATTGGGGAGGAGGTGTTGACTGACAGGCGGAAGTGTGAGGGGCGGGTCTGCTGAGCTTCTTGGGGAGAGGCAGCAGAAGGAACGCCTCTGGAGCCCAAAGCTTCTATTGGGTGGGAGGACAGAGGGTGGGAGGCGGAGTGCTCGCCACGCCCCTGGCTGCTGGTGAGCCAGCTTCCAACAGTGACGCCGGGCAGTGCCCCTCCACAAACACAACAGTGCTCCAGGACATCTGTGGAAAATGCAACTAAAACCCACGTTTATTTTGGAGTACAACAATTTGAAATTCATGCATATAAGGGGTTTTTCAGAAAGGCCATAGAAAATGTGTATTATGGGAAAAACTATGCATGGCTCTCAAGGATTTTTTTGCAAAATTCATTTTTTGGTTCCATCTTCCATGAACTTTTTGAAGTCCACTTGTACCACGAAGCACCATCCTTAGCCATTTCAGGGACACCTGCTGCATCTCACTGTCCACGCCACCCTGAGATCACAGTGTGGCCAGTACAGCTCTAGAATCGAGAAACTGTGGACCTCCTGCCAAGACCTAGAGACGGGAGAGTGGGCAGGTGTTCCACAGACGGTGGGCAGAAAGGGTCGGCAGCAAGTGAGGGGAACAGTGACCCGAGAGGGCGCTGTGTTAGGAATGAGGATTTCACTTGTTCTTAGTTTTCCTGTGATTTAGGAAGCCACTGGACAGGAGTGAGAACAGACTTGGGACCTTGCCTGGAAGGCTCTAGGAGGATTATTCTACCGAGAAAAACAGCCCGCAGGTCCTGGTGGCAGCTAAAGCTCAGCCCGCAGGGTTCTCAATGACACCTAACTCAAGGAGGGACTCATCAGGCCCACACAATGCTTAATGCTTGCTCTCCAGCCCAGCACAGGTTCATTTAAAACGCCCATCTCCTGCAGATCAGAGATCTTCCACATCTGGAATCATCCTGAACCTGACAAATGAAGTTCCCACACGTACATCAGACACCAGTAACCGCTTGGCATACTCCTTTAGTAATTTCCAGTTTTTAAAACTGGAATCATCTTTTAAAACTTAAATTGGCTGGGGCCAGCGCTGTGGTGTAGGGGGTGAAGGGGCAACCTACTACGCCAGTATCCCATGTGGGGGCAGGTTCTAGTCCCGGCTGCTCTACTTCCAATCCAGCTCTCTGCTGTGGCCTGGGAAAGCAGTGGAAGACGGCCCAAGTCCTTGGCCCCCTGCACCCGCATGGGAGGCCTGGAAGAAGCTCCTGGCTCCTGGCTTCAGATCAGCCCAGCTCCATTTGGGGAGTGAACCAGCTGATGGAAGGCCTCTCTCTCTCCCTCTGTCTTTCTCGCTTTCTGCCTCTACCTCTCTGTAACTCTGCCTTTCAAATAAACAAATAAATCTTTAATAAAAAACAAATTGTCACTAGACCATTTGACCTGCTCAATTCCTACATTAATTGATATATTGTAAATATTGCTTTCCATTACACGTTACAATGGCAGAGACTATGAAAATAAAATTCAGTAGTACTGCACGGAGTCACTCTGCACCCTGCTGAGCACACATCTTCTGGGATGGAGACCCCACCCCAGGAACCTGGCATGCTCACATGAGCTAAGGGAGGGGTGGGCTGAGCCCCAGGGCCCATGGCCAAGACCCAGCTTAGGAGGCCCACCTGAAGCACTGTAGCCGGAGTCCCTGGGCGAAGCGGCCGGCCTGGTACTCTTCCCCATCCATGACGGAAGGCACCGTCTCTGTGTCCTGGACAATGACAGCCATCTCACTGTCCCGCTTACCCAGCATGCTTCGGTCATTGATGTTGGCAGAGCCTGGAAGGGACAGGAGTACAACAGAACTTTCGAGTGGGAGTTCACACTGTGGATTCCCTGCTGGCTGGACTCTTTGCTAAGGAAGCGCCTAGCAAAGCTTATCAAGAGAAGAGGGACTTCAAGTGGCCCTCCCTAACGGGGTGGGATGTGATCAGCATAAAACCAGCCACGGCAACCTCATTATCTTTGCTGGTGCCTGGCTCCGAATGGGCACATGGGTTCCAGCCAATGTGACTTGAAGGCAAGCCTTCTAGGCACTTCCAAGAAAGGTTTTCCTCTTTGTGTAAAGGAACACAAGAAATGGATGCTGTCTCTTCCAGCCTTCAGATATTTGGAATTGAGGAGTTGGATGAGGACATGATTCTGGGAGTGACTGCAGCCACTTTGCAACCATGGGGGACAGGCAGAAAAGTTGAGGACAGCAGAGAGAGAGAGAGAAAAAAAAAAGATTTGGTCTTTAAGTCAATCAACTAGCCAAGCCTAGGGCATTCCTACATATAGCAAACAAAACATTTTCTATTGTTTCACCTATTCGAGTTGAGTTTTCTACCCTGTGACTCATAGGATTTTCATGTAACCATCAAACACTTAAGAACCAGACTCTCTGTGGACTTTAACTCAGCCACACAGGGATACCTGTGTGTCAGGAGGAACGAGTGCCTTCACAACCAGCAGTCTGATCTCAGGACAGCGTGGCTGGGGGCTTGGGGGCTTGGGGGCTCGGGGGCTCGGGGGCTCGGGGGCTCGGGCTCTCCCCTCCCCTGCCTCACCTGGGTCAGGGCGTGCCAGCAGCTTGGCAGCACCCTTCCCCCAGCCTGTTTTTAAATCCCAGTCAGCTGAGTACGTCGACCGGCACGTAGGAAGGACAAACTACTCTAACCCCCGGTTCAACCTGAGCTTTCCATGTGGATTCCGAAACCCTATCGCGTTTTCTGCGTTAGTAACTGCGGCTTCTCGCTTTTCACCCCTTGAGGCGTCCTGCAGACTATGCAAGGGGCCCAGGCCGACTGTTCCTCCTGGTTCCTCTTGCCCGTGCTGCAACTCTGCTGCTTCTGCCAAGGCGAGCAGTCTCAGGCTGAGCAGGCACACCGGCTGCCCTGCGTGACCGCAGCAGCCCTGCCAGGAGCCCGGCCGGCAGGAGTCCGTGCCCTTCCCTAACATCTGCCATGTACGGCCACACAGTCCACACGCCCATCTACGCTGTCTGTGCACGTGAACGGTGCCCATGCTGGTTCTGGTGGACACAGAAGGGATGCAGCAGCCACGGAAATGTGGGAGCACCACTGGAGAGGTGGACGGCGGCCACCTTTGAGCCACTCTGGTCTGTAGGCAGCAGCTGCTCCTTACGCGTATGCGCACACTTTCACTAAGCTATATGGCCTGCAGCCGTATCTCTGCACTTCACAACTGGCCCGGCGTTAGTTCGGACGAGTCATTTCATGTTCTCAGCTTTAACCTGAGCTTTCCTAAATTGGGATAATAAAGACTCTCAGGGTTTTGTTTTTTATGCGAGTTAAGCAAGTCCATGTGAAAGCACTTAATGATCTATAAACTTCTCTGCAAGTGTTTATTGTTATTGGCATTAGTAATAAATACTTCTAAATTCTAGAATATCTGCCCCAGAAAACACTGCAGCAGGGAGACAGTCGACTTGCTGGAATGTAGCACTGGTAACAAAGAGCTCTCCGCTCTGGCTTGGTCTCCTTGACCTAAGTGTGTGAAGAAAGGACCCCAGGAGCTTAGCTTCCAGACCCTGCTTTGAGATTTCATTACCCTCCTGGACCCACCAGAGGGCGCTCCGGGGCTGAGGGCTGCAGGATCAGCTCCACACCCAGGCAGCTCCCCCAACCTCCGCCCACCATACTGGGGGTGGTGGTGGTGGGGGGGGGGGGAGATGGGGTTGCAGGTGAGGGGCTCACTCCAGAGAGGAGGAACACAGAGGGTACGGTTCTGGGACTTCCAGGGCGATCTGGAATTACCCAGAGCACTGACTCTCAAAGTCACTGGATTTCTCCCCAGGCTGAAAATATGACCCCCAGAGCCCGGGAGCCCCCTGGACCTTCCCAGGTACAGCCCTCCTTCCTCAGAGGGAGGCCCGATGTTGGACTTCATGTACACGCCCGACACTGTTTTCCTGAACAAAGAATGCTTTAGACTTTTTAATTTATACAAAAGAAACCACATAGCAGATAATCTTTTGAGATTTCTTTCTTTTCTCCAGTATCATGATTCTGGGATTTATCTATGCACAGTAATGCATTTATTTTCCTTGAATGAACACACCAGGGATTTATTTATTCATTCTGTTGATGGATGTCTGCATTGCTTCCAGAATTTTGCTGTGATGAGCAATTCTCCTCTACAGAGTTGTTTATATGAGGGCATTTCAAAAAGTTCAGGAAAAAGGAAAGATCATTTTGGTGCAAAAAAATTCTGAAATTCATGTATAGTTTTTTCATAATACATACTTTACACAAACTTTGTGAAGAGCTCTTGTATTTTTCAAATTATTAAAATTATTTATAATTTAAATTAAGTTTAAATTATTTATAATTTTTTAAATTATAGGCAGAGAGAGGAGCAGATAGTGAGAAAGAGATGGAGCTCTTTGAACTGCTAGTTCACTCCCCCAGTGCCCACAACGGCTGGGCCAGACGGAAGCCATGAACTCAATCTGGGTTTCCCATGTGGGTGAGAGGGCCCCAGGTACTACAGCCATGACCTGCTGCATCCCAGGGTGCACACTGGCAGGAGGCTAGAATTGGCAGTGAAGCTGGAATTTGAACTCTGACACGCTCATATGGGATGTGGGGCATCTTAACTGCTACTCCTGACACCCACCCCAGGAGCACTTGTATTTGTTCTTCAGCCCACACATGTGTGGGCAGTAGTGGATGATGAGCTGTAGGGTGGCTAACATTACTAGGTTCTATCAGAATATTTTTTTCTTTTTTTATGATTTATTTGAAAGGCAATTTACACAGAGAGAAGAGAGAGAGAGGGAGGGAAGGAGGGGGGGGGGGAGAGAATCTTCCATTCACTTGTTCACTCCCCCAAATGGCCACTATGGCCAGGACTGGGCCAGGCAGAAGCCAGGAGCCTGGAACTCTATCTGGGTCTCCTAGCTGGGTGCAGGGGTCTAAGGATTTGGGCCATCTTCTGCTGCTTTCCCGTGGTTATCAGCAGGGAGCTGGATCATAAGTGGAGCAGCCGGGACTCAAACTGGCACCCACATGGGATGCTGGTGTCATAGGTATCATCTTAACCCACTGTGCCACAATGCAGGTCCCAGTGCCAGAATATTTTCTAAAGGGTTTTCCAATTTATGTTCCTAGCAGCAGTAACTGGGGGTCACTGTTGCTGGACGGCCTTGCCAATACTAAGATAGTTAAGCTTTTAAATTTTCACCTTTCTGGTATTTAAACGTGGTTACTTTTGTCATTATTATATGAATGAGAATGAACACTTTTCCCAAGTTCATGGGCTTTGAGTATGTTCTCTTTGATGAAGTTCCTTTAGCTTGGCCTTGGCCATTTTTCTTTGGATGTTTGGCTTTTTTATTTAAATCTGTTCTTTGCATATTTTGAAAACTAAATGTGTTGTAAACATCTTTCAGCTTGTGGCTTGTCTTTTTATTCTTGACAGTATCTTTTAGTGGATAAAGTTCTGAGTTTTAATGCAGTTGGGCTTATGTATGTTTTCCTTTATTGTTTGTGGTTTTTTTTTTTTTTTTTTTTTTGGATATGTCTTATTTAAGAGATTGTGAATTCTTCTGTGGAAGGCAGAGTAATAAGCCCCAAGGACGTTCACATCCTAATTCCTGAAACTTGTGCATTTGCCCTGTTGCATGACACAGGGGAACTGAGGCTGCAAATGGACTTAAAGTTGGAAATCAACTAACCTTACAGCAGGGTGATTATTATCCAAAACAATGGCAAGGGCACTTACAAATGAAGGCGGTCAGAGGTGGATATGACTCTAGAGCACACTGAGACTTGAAGCGTTTTCAGCGATGTAGGGTTGCTGCCTCTCAAAGACGGGGAACAGGCATGAGCCGAGGGACATGGGCAGCTTCCAGAAGCTGGAAAGGCAAGGGACTGGATTCTCCCCCTGGAGCCTCCAGACAGGAGTGCAGCTGGCCTGCCTGCGGGCACCCTGACTCTAGTCCAGTGAGACCCGTGTACGAATGACAACCTGCAGAAGTGTCAGATAATACCTTTGTGTTGGTTTGCATCATTAACATCATTTGTCACAGCAATTACAGAAAACTAATACTCCCGGGCTGACGTCGTGGTACAGTGGGTTAAAGTGTTGTTTGCAACACCAGCATTCCATATGGGCACTGGCTCGTGTCCCGAATGCTCCACTTCCAGTCCAGCTCCCTGCTAATTCACCTGGGAAAACAGCAGTGGATGTCCCAAGAGCTTGGGCCCCTGTCACCCACATGGGAGACCAGGATGGAGTTCCAGGCTCCTGTCTTTGGCTTGGCCCAGCCCTGACCATTAGAGCCATGTGGGAAATGAACCAGCAGACAGAAGATCTCTTTCTCTTCATCTCTTTCTGTAACTTTGCCTTTCAAATAAATTAAATAAACCTTTAAAAAGAGAAAAGAAAAGAAAAACAACAGACCAAGTTTACCGTCTTTTAGTTTATTTCCTTTCAAGGAAAATCAGTTCTGCTCTTGAACCCAATTGGGCTGTTCTATAGTTTCCACCACTTGTGCACCCTGTGCCTTCAGATTCTAAGTTCCCAGCCTTTACTACACATTAGCATTGCCTAGAAACCTTTTAAAATATGGATGCGAAAAACAGACAAAATCCCCTGATGCTGAGTCCCAAACCAAATACACCAGACCAATCAGGTCAGAATTTCTGGAGGAAGGAACTAGGTGTTGGTATACTGTTCCATTCCAGTATCCATCAGTCATCCCTCTTTTTCTTACCCATTTTAAGGTACACTGCAGACATGGATAAAGTTTCCCCCCTAAATATTCATATATTCATTCTCTCTCTCCATACTACCTATTTAGCTAATATATATATATAATTACCTATCTACTTATCTATTATTTACCAATTTAATATATATTATCTATCTACTTATCTACCTATCTTTCCTTCCATCAATCCACCATCCATCCATCCATCCATCCATCCATAATGTATGCGTGTATTTAGCTTTAAAGCTCTCCAGGTAAATCTACAGCAGTCAGGGCTGAGACCCCCAGGACTAGAAATTCTTAGAATAAAAAGAACCCCTCTTTACTGGGGCAGCTCCCCTTGCAACACGGGTGTTATGACTTCCGGAGAGTTTCCCTACCCACCCACACTCAGTGATTGCCTGTGGACCCTCTTGCCAGTTCAGCCACCCACCCCATTGCTTCTGGTGTAGGGGCAGGAAACACTGCCGCTCCTCTAGCCCAAAAACTCTCTGAGGGCAGTGGCACTGTTTCACCCGAGTTTTACTTCTCCACACTGTGTCCTGCACTGGATTAGTGAACATTACAAACAATGATTTCACATAGCCAATATTCTACTTAAAAGATAGCCATGTTTTGTTTATGAAAACAAATGTCAGTTTGGTTAAATGTTAAAATTACCATGGGTTATAAAACTGGACTCCATCACAGATTTGATGACCAGCAGGGCAACAAGTGATTAAAACTATATACAAAAGAGATCTTCAATGTGAGAAAACAAGTCTTCCTCATGGGGAAAAAAATGAGAATAAACAATTAGTCATTTTTCTTATGCCAGTGAGTCAACTCTTCTAGCATAAGGTTGCCATGTTAGAAAAAGTAACCACAAGTTACTTTATTATTATTTTTTGACAGGCAGAGTGGACAGTGAGAGAGACAGAGAGAAAGGTCTTCCTTTGCTGTTGATTCACCCTCCAATGGCCGCTGCGGCCAGCGCGCTGTGGCCGGCGTACCGTGCTGATCCAATGGCAGGAGCCAGGTACTTATCCTGGTCTCCCATGGGGTGCAGGGCCCAAGCACTTGGGCCATCCTCCACTGCACTCCCTGGCCACAGCAGAGAGCTGGCCTGGAAGAAGGGCAACCAGGACAGAATCCGGTGCCCTGACCCAGAGTAGAACCTGGTGTGCCGGCGCCGCTAGGTGGAGGACTAGCCTATTGAGCTGCGGCGCCAGCCCGCAAGTTACTTTAGATTCCTTTCAGCTTTAAAGGCTTGCTTAACAACTGTAAACATTTCTTATCCTCTCAAACTCCTGGGAACTGAAACATTTTTCTCTGTTATGAGCTTAAACAGGGCTGATGCGTTAAAACATGCAACCATCTGCTTACTCTTCGAGTTTCCACCGAGATAGAGAGAACATAGGAAGCTCCTGATTTTTCCTTGGGAGGAATCTGTTCTTTAAGTCATGCTTGGGGAAGGGAAAAAAGACAGCCAGCCTCTAAGAACTACCAAGCAAGACCTCTTCATACCCCCATGGCCCTGACTTGAAGTTCAAGAGAGTGGGCAAGAGCTCTGTTCACAATAGAACAATTATTGCTAGCTGGTCTAAACAAACCGTAGCTTTGCAGGGTTTGGAAACCTTTCTAGAAAACAAATCAATTTAAAAACTCAAGCAATATATTTAACTGTTAGCTCTGTTCCTGAATTCCACCTTGCTTTTGCACTTTATATAGAGTAGAGCAGGCTGAAGGTGAGAGCGGTCTTTCAAAGGGAAAGGCGTACATTTGTTAAACTTCATTACAAGAGTTCTCAACTCTTGCTGAAAAGACCGACTGAATTTTACTTGGCTGTGCTTGTTTTTCCATTCCAGCAAACATCAATACTTTTTCTCTTTTGCACTGTCATTTTTCAGATGGAATATAAAAATATTGTGAGGTTGGCTTTTGAAGAACAAAGAACAAAGTCAGAGTAGTTTAAGAAAAATAAGAGAAATCTCGTGCATTGGGGGAATGTGGGGAAGTAAACAAACCTCTAAAGAGCTTTGATTTCTATAAAATAAAAGGTAAAAAAAGACATTGTTCTTAAATGTCCTGTATAAGTTTAAAAGAATATCTAATTTATCTACCCATCGATCCATCCACCTCTGTATCTAATCTCTCTCTCTCTCCACATACATTTTGTGCTTTCAGAACTACTTTTCCTTTCTTTTCAAACCATATTCCATTACAATAACAAGACAGCCTCATTACTGCTAGCTAGAGATTTTTTCTGTATCTTCTCAGTAGAAGACAGAGATGGAAAAAGCATATTTGCTGCCAAAAAATTTCAAAACATTGCACAACACATAGGTTCTTAAAGAATAGTGAAGAATCTTATTATGGCTGAGAAACTACATTTTATTTAAAACAGATGAGCAGAATTCCTGACTGGTTCACGACCTATCTCTCAGTAACATGCCCCAACCCTGGTCAGCTCATTTACCTGACTGGTCATCAAGACCTTGCTTCTCACTTGCCAGTGTTCATGTAACACAATATTACAAAGCAAGCAATTCTGGGATGGGAAAATGGAGGAAGAAAGCTTAACATTCAACCCTCTTGTTAACTCGATCTTATTTGGATAGGATGTACAGCTTGAACTTCCTGCTGACCCACCGGTGGGGATAGGTCTCAGGAGAAATCTACGGTGTCTTCTTGTTAGGAAGAGAATGCAGACTTCAGTGTTGGTCTAGACCATGTCATTAATACACAATTCCCTCCTTACCCAAGCAATTCAAGAAGGCTGGCCTGCTCTGCACACTGATTAGTGACACCCAGCACACAGATGTTAGGAAAAAACAACTACACCATACAGGCTGCAATATTTTAATAACTTTCTGATTCTGATTTTTCCATAACTTTGGATCTGGGGTAACGGTTAAGTGGATGTGGTGTAAACACAAACAAATCACCATGGGGTGCTCACCTATGGTACATTCTTCCTCTTCATTTCTCCCCCACCAATTCCTCAAACTAAGGCACTTGGATTCAATATAAAAATCAAAGGAATAAAGAATAAGGGGCGAGTGTTTGGATGGTGGTTGGGTTGCCTGCTTCCCGTATCACAGTGCCTGGGTTTGAGCCCAGGCTCTGCCCCCACGCCAGGTTTCTGCTTATGTGCACCCTTTGAGGCAGCAGGAGATGGTACAAGTGCCTGGGTTCCTGCCACCCATGTGGGAGGCTTGGATTGAATTCCTGGATCCTGGCTTCGTCCTGGCCTTCCTCCAGGCACTGTGCGCATCTGGGGAGTGAACTGGTAGATGGGAGCTCGCTCTCTCTCTCTGTCTCATCAATCAATCAATCAAACAAATCAGATCAGAGACCATTAGACTTCTGGGTTAAACTGTAATTTGCACAAAGTCCATTAAACTGCTTTTGATTTCCAATTCTTCATAGATTAAAAATAAGGTTAAAAAGGACTTAAAAGAAATGATTGACTTGGAAATGTGTTAGATATGTTACTATGTCTAGATATTTATTCATGTGTCTCTCAACTGCAAAGGAAGCTTGGATGGAATAGGAAGAAAGACTTAGGCACAAGCTCAGTCAGTGCAGGGAACACAATTAAAGACCACTACTTACCAATAATAACAGTGTTATCATCAGCAATTAGCAACTTGCTGTGGACATAGATCAGCTCAGTGACCAGGTTTCCTTCTAGCTCTGCATGCGTTCTAAGGCCACAGAATGATATGTAGTTTATCCACTGATTACCCACTGTAAACACAATAAAAAGAAATGATCAAAATCAGTGTGACTAAGCTCCGTAAAGGCACACCACATTTTATCTCTGCTCAGAATATACTGAACCAGGATGCTGAGAATATATGTATTTTGTCCATTTCAGGATTCACCCAGGATCCGTTTTTGGCCTCTGATGATAATACTATTAATCTGGATAGTTATACATTTAAAAATAATCTTCACATGCTTGCTATCTTTCTTTACTGAGGTAACCCCAAAGAACTTTCAAATATAAATATTTTATGTTAGTGATTTGATGAAAAATTACTGAACAGTGATGGTTAAAGCTGAGCCACAGTAGTTAACTCACGACTTCAAAGTGACATTGCTTCTATGTTGGCGGACACCTGCTACAGTTTAAATCCGATGCAAGATGTGTGCCAGAACCACCTGGTGAATACGCAGTGTGCAGGACAGTCACCACTAAGCAGCGGTCACATTTTACAGATTCTGGGTAAATGAAAATGCTGGCAACTTAAAAATTCTCCTCCTTTTTGGGTCATTAAAATCAGGAAATGAAAGAATCCTTACATCTGACTTAGTGGAGTTACCTTCAGAGTCGGTGGTACCAGGTTTGCATTTTAACATGCTGCCCTCTCGTCTCCTTATGAGAGGACCATTCATGTGATTAGCAGGATAACCCACAATCAGGATCCTGGTGCCAGTATCAGTCACAAGATTTTATGATCTCTCTCCCACACAGCAGTTGTCCTGGATAAGCAAAGTCTGATACTAAGAATAAATGGAGTGGGATCAAACCATCACAAATTCTAACAGCAAAAGAGTATAAATAATGTTTTTTCTTATAGAGAATCTGAAGCATACTACTAGAACTTCAGGCAGTTCATGTTCCATTTACTGAAGCTTCCATTTATTACTGATGTTTTCTATTTTACTTCCAATGTTGTAGTGTTTCTATTAAGCTTAAGTGTCTTGGAAATAAATTCTTTCATAGGTAGTATACAGTCCCTCTGTGTCCCTGACGTGATGGAATGATCTTACGTAGTTGTATTAGACAAGAGTTGATGTGTTAGTGTACTAGTGCATCTTGCATCAGAAAAGCATTCCTAAAGAGTTTTCTGTAAATCAGATTTTTGCAAATAGATTTCTTTCCCCACCTGTTAATATTATATCTAAACAAAAAAAAATCATTTCCTTTTTTAAAGCCTCTCATGCCAATAAAATTTCTGGAAAATATTTTTAATATAAGGCCTACTAGGTTACAAACATTTATTCAATCCTTCTTTTTTCCTACTGCTGTAAAAGAACTGGGTCTTATATAATTTGTTAGCCTCAACTCTGCACACTGTTAAATGAATGAGTGAATGGACATTCAGGTGGCAGCTAATATGTTACTTTTGGTTCCTCTCTATCACCCCCGTTCCTGCAGCTTGCTTAAGACCTAAGATCAAAAATTTTAAGATACAAAGCAGCTTTGTAAAGAGCAAGGTCTTTGCTAAAGTATTTTTGCAATATTTCTCATTTAAAAATCACGTCACATAACACAGAACAGTGGTTCTCAGTGTGCATAAGGGCCACCTCGATGGGATTTGTTAAAAGTGGATTTGTGTGACCCTGCCCAGAATCCTGATTCAGCAGAAATCAATTCAATAAGTGCCCTAGGGGATACTGTCTTTAATGACATTGCCAAGGAGCTTTAGTATTTATAGACTTCTGATTAGGAATACATGTCATCAAAATTATACACAATGACCGAGTGAGATGCCTTCCAGGGGTGGTAGTCTGCTCAGTATGAGGTATCCATTAATACAAGACAGCACTGATCTGGGGAGGAAAAACCATGTGATTTTCTCAGTAAATGCTAAAAAGCTTTTCACACAATTTAGCATCTATTACCGTTTGGGTGTCTGCCAGAGACCCATGTGTTAAAGGCCTGATCCCGAGTCTTGTGTTAATGAGTGAAGTATGGTACTTATGGTTCTGAAGGTGTGTCCTCAGAGAGTGATCAGATTGTATTAGGACCACAGTGCAATGAAGCTGAAATCAGAAACTCTGAAATCTCTAGAATATATGCAAACACGTGGAAACTGGACAACATGCTCCTGAATGAATAGTGGGTCATAGAAGAAATCAAAAGAGAAATAAAAAAAAATTCTGGAAACAAATGAAGATGACAATACAACATATCAAAGTTTATGGGATACAGCAAAAGCAGTCTTAAGAGGAAAGTTTATAGCAATCGGTGCCTACATCAAGAAATTGGAACGGCACCAAATAAATGAACTATCAATGCACCTCAAGGATCTAGAATAACAGCAGCAAACCAAACCCAAAACTAGTAAGAGAAAAGAAATAATTAAAATTAGAGGAGAAATCAACAACATCAAAACAAAAAAATACACTAGATCAGCAAAACGAAGAGCTGGTTTTTTGAAAAAATCAACAAAATTGAAACATCATTAGCCCAACTAACCAAAAACAGGAGAAGACCCAAATCAATAAAATTAGATATGAAAAATGGAATGTAACAACAGACACCATGGAAATAAAAAGAATCATCAGAAATTACTACAAAGAGCTGTTTGTCAATAAACTAGGAAATCTATCAGAAATGGATGGATTCCTGGACACATACAACCTACCTAAATTGAGCCATGAAGACACAGAAAACCTAAACAGACCCACAACCAAGATAGAGATTAAATCAGTAATAAAGACTTTCCCAACAAAGAAAAGCCCAGGACCAGATGGCTTCACCACTGAATTCTACCAGACATTTAAAGAAGAACTAATTCCAATTCTTCTCAAGTTATTCAAAACAACTGAAAGAAAGGGAATCCTCCCAAATTCTTTCTATGAAGCCAGCATCATCTTAATTCCTAACCCAGAAAAGTGGCAACAGAGAAGGAGAACTACGGACCAATTTCCCTGATGAACATAGAAGCAAAAACCATCAACAAAATTCTGTCCAATAAAATTCAACAACACATCAGAAAGATCATTCTCAGGGACCAAGTGGGATTTATCCCTGGTATGCAGAGATGGTTCAACATTTGCAAATCAATGTGATATATCACATCAACAAACTGAAGAATAAAATCCATATGATTATCTCAATAGATACAGAGAAAGCATTTGATAAAATACAACACCCTTTCATGATGAAAACTAAGCAAATTGAGTTTAGAAGGAACATTCCTCAACACAAACAAGGCAATTTATGACAAACCCATGACCAGCATCATATTGAATGGGGAAAAGTTGGAAGCATCTCCACTGAGATCTGGAACCAAACAAGGGTGCCCAATTTCACTACAGCTATTCAATATCATCCTGGAAGTTCAAGCCAAAGCCATTAGACAAGAAAAAGAAATCAATGGGATTCAAATTGGGAAAGAGGAAGTCAAACTATCCTTATTTGCAGAAGACATGATTATATATACAGGGGATCCAAAAGACTCCACCAAGAGACTACTGGAACTCATAGAAGAGTTTGGAAAAGTGGCAGGATATAAAAACAATACACACACAAAAAGAGCCTTTGTATACACGACAATGTGATGGCTGATAAAGAACTTGTAAGATCAATCCCATTCACAATAGGTACAAAAAATCAATACCTTGGAATAAACTTAACCAAGGAAGTCAAAGATCTCTATGATGAGAATTATAAAACATTAAAGAAAGAAATAGAAGAAGATACAAAAAAACTGAGGAAAATGTCCATGTTCATGTATTGGAAGAATCAATATCATCAAAATGTCCATTCTTCCAAGAGCAATTTACAGATTCAATGCAATATGAATCAAAATACCAAAGATATTCTTTTCAAATCTAGAAAAATTGATGCTGAAATTCACTGGAAACACAAGAGAACTTAAATAGCTAAAACAATATTATACAACAAAAACAAAGCAGGAGGCATCACAATACCAGATTTCAAGACATACTACAAGGCAGTTATAATCAAAACAGCCTGGTACTGGTACAAAAACAGATAAGACAGACCAATGGAACAGTCTAGAAACCCCAGAAATCAACCAAAGAATCTATAACCAACTTATATTTGACCAAAGAGCTAAAACCAATCCCTGGAGCAAGGATAGTCTCTTCAACAAATGGTGTTGGGAAAGCTGGATTTCCACATGGAGAAATATGAAGCAGGACCCCTACCTTACACTTTACACAAAAATCCATTCAAAATGGATTAATGACCTAAATCTACGATCTGATACCAACAAATTATTAGCATTGAGGAAACCCTGCAAGACATTGGCATAGGCAAAGACTTCTTAGAAAAGACCACAGAGGCACAAGCAATCAAAGCCAAAATTCACAAATGGGATTACATCAAATTGAGAAGATTTTATACTGCAAAGAAACAGTTAGGAAAGCGAAGAGGCAACCAACAGAATGGGAGAAATTATTTGCAAATTATGCAACAGATAAAGGATTAATAACCAGAATATACAAAGAGATCAAGGAATTCCACACACAAAGAAAACCAGTTAAGAAATGGGCAAAGGACTTAAACAGACATTTTTCAAAAGATGAAATCCAAATGGCCAGTAGACATGAAAAATGCTCAGGATCACTAGCCATAAGGGAAATACAAATCATAACCACAATGCGGTTTCACCTCACCCCTGTCTAACTCACCTAACTGTCTCTCCCAGTTAGAATGGTTTTCATACAGAAATCAACAAACAACAAATGCTGATGAGGATATGGAGAAAAAGGTACCCTAATCCACTGTTGGTGGGAATGTGAACTGGTAAAACCACTATGGAAGACAGTTTGGAGACAACTCAGAAATCTGAATATAGTCCTACCATATGACCCAGCCATTCCACTCTTGGGAACTTACCCAAGGGAAATGAAATCAGCAAATACAAGAGTTACCTGCACTCCCATGTTTACTGCAGCTCAATTCACAATAGATAAAACATGGAATCAACCTAAATGCCCATTAACTGAGGACTAGATAAAGAAATTATGGGATATGTACTTCA